ATTATTCTAATGAGCTTATGCTCTGGTGTCTCTAATACAGAATTCAATTAACAGACATTTTTGTTATTGCTATCTCTACTCTCAAGAACTCAAGAGAATGTTGAAATTAGCCCCAGCTTTTAGAGGGTTGTTTCCTAGTCCAACGGGAAATTCCTTAAAGATAATGGCATGACTTCCATCGGGAAGCAAGTGCTTAACCACATCAAGACTTTTAGAAAAGAAAAAAATTCCTGATTTTTTTTGTTTATATTCAGAGCAATGCATTAAATATTAGATGAAGTCATGAAATAACATTTTGATTCATGAAAAGATATGCTAAATTAGAGCTGGAAGCTTCTTGGGTGGACGTCCAGTGGAAAAAATTTCAGGAAGTCGGGGGTAAACCTTACTGTAGTGAACTACCAGCACCTTCAGACACGTGGGGTTAGGCCTCTGCTGTTACATTCCTTATCCCTGGTATGTAGTGACTCAGCATGAACGTGGGTGAACTAGAACATGGGTTTTCAAATACCTGATGTGAATATGTTACCCTGTGAGGTCTGGGAAACATGCTGAAGTTTAGTCTGCGTTGTGTCCGAGTTTAGACTGTTTTAATAATCACACTGATTACTGCTATAGTCTGAATGCTTGTGTTCCCCCCAACACCAAAATTCATTTGACCAATATTTATTCCCCCCACCAGAATTTATCCTAAATGTGATGGCATTAGAAGGTAGGGCCTTTAGGTTGTTAATTAGGTCATGAGGGTGGAGTCCTCATGAATGGGATTAGTGCCCTTATTTAAGAGGCCCCAGAGAGTTTAGTTTTTTCAGCCATGTGAAGACACAGCCAGAAGGTGCCTGAACAGACTAAGAAAGTTACTATTGAAGAGATCCCCTTGGGTGTTGTCCTAGTATGTTCAGCCTGCTATTACAGAATGCCATAAATTAGGTGGCTTGTAAACAACAGAAACTTATTTCTCGAAGTTCCAGAGACTGGGAAGTCCTAGATCAAAGTGCCAGCAGATTTGGTGTCTGATGAGGGCTTCCTGGTTCATAGATGGCACCTTCTTGCTGTCCTCACATGGAAAAAAGAGCTAGAGAACTCTGGGGACTCAGCTCCCAAAGGCCCCACTTCCTCACACCATCACCTTGGGAATTAGGATTTCACTTGTGAATTTTGGGGGGACACAGACCTTCATTCTCTACCATTATGTCCCTCGACACCGAAAATTCATGTCTTTCTCACATGCCATCAACTCAGAAATCTAAATTTGAAAGTCTCATCTAAATATCATGTAAATCAGGTATGGGTGAGACTAAAGGTATGATTTATTCTGAGGCAAAAACCCTCTCCAGCTGTGAACTTGTGAAACAAGGCAAGTTACAGGCTTCCAAAATACAACAGTGGGGCAGGCATAAGAGAAACACTCCCATTATAAAAGGCAGAGATGAGAAGGAAGAAAGGAAGGACAGGTCCCAAGAAAGTCCAAAACCCAGTAGAGCAAATTCCATTAGACCTTAAGGATTGAGAATGATCCTCTTTGACTCAATGTTCTGCCCTCCAGGCCCAGTGGGGAAGAGGTCCCACCTTCCAGTCACACTGGCATGTATTGGTCATGCCCCAGCAGTTTTGCCAGGCAGGGATTGGGCCCCCATGGCTTTGGGCATCCCCTACCTCCATGACAGCATGTGCCTGGGCCTCACAGCTCTCTGGGGCTGAAGTCCCAAGCCCGTGGCTCTGCCAGCAGACCCTGTCCTTAAAATCTAAGCAGAGGCAGTCATGTCCCCACAACTCTGTTGGACACAGCCCATGTTGCACTGGGGCCCACCAGAACTGCACGTGGGGGCAGCTGACACTCAGTGCCAGGGTGCAGAGAGCAGAGCTGGTGATGTCAGGCAGGGCAGGGCAGGCACATCTAGATCATGTAGGTGCCATTGGACTCTCCTTTGCATCCTTCCATTGTCCTGGACAGTAGCTGCTGTCTTTTGTTGGGATGACTGACTGATGTCCTTATCAAATGGTCATTTGGTTACACCCCTAGTGTTCACTCCCAAACAAGCCTTTTCATTCCTTTCAAACTGGATAGGTTGAAAATTTTCCAAATCTTAAGTTCTGCTACCTTCTTGATTGACAATCCATCTTTATTTCTCTCTTCTCTCATTTTACTATAAGCAATCAGAGAAAACAGACCATTCCTTCAACTCTTTGCTTAGAAATTTCCTCAGCCAAATATTTAATTTCATCACTTGATAGTTCTACCTTACACAAGACACTAGAACAAGAACACAATTCAGCCGAGTTCTTTGCCACTTTATAAGAAGGATCACCTTCCCTCCAGTTTCAATAAAATGTTCCTTATTTTTGTCTGAGACCTCATAGGCATGGCTTTTGCCATCCATATTCATTCCAACATTCTATTTGTGATTACTTAGATATTCTCCAAGAAGACTGAAGCTTTCTCTCTAACTCTTTTCTTCCTGGGCCCCAGCCCATTTATGGAAATGTAGGCTTTTCCTAGAATGTCCCTCAAAACTCTTCCAGACTGTACCCATTACCCAGTACCAAAGCCACTTCCACATTTTGAAGTATTTGTTACAGCAGCAACCCCCCCACACCATCACCCCTTAGTACCAATTTTTGTCTTAGTCCATTCAGGCTGCTGTAACAGAATACCATCAATTTGGTGCTTTATAAACAACAGAAATTTATTTCTTACAGTTCTGGAGGCTGGAAAGTCCAAGATCAAGGTGCTAGAAGATTTGGTGTCTGGTGAGGGCTGGCTTCCTGTTCACAGGCAGCCACATTCTCAGTGTCCTCACATGGTGGAAGGAATGAAGGGTTTCTCTGGGTCTCTTTTATAGGAACACTAATTCCATTCATGAGACTCCACACTCGTGACCTGATCACTTCTTAAAGACCCAACCTCCTAAGACCATCACATTTACATTAGGTTAACCATATAAATTTGGGGGGGACACAAACATTCTATGGCAGGCATGTAAGCACTCAACACTCTGCTAGGTGCTGTGAGGGGCACAGAAGCATGGACCCAGATCTACTTCAAAGGAGCTGACTACGGACATATTTAAATAATTAGGTTAAATCCCTTTGTGCAGCTGCAAGCCATTTGGAATTCACAGATGGGATTGCTGATCACGGGGCTCATTTTTTGAACTGAACCTGGTAGGATTTGAATAAAGGGAGGCATAATGGAAATAAGGACAAAACACAAATGACCCCCAATCAGCTAGTCGGGGTGCTGGACCAGAAGAGAAGCTCATTTGGGAAAATGACAGGTGCCATTGCAACTCAAACAGGAAGGGCCTTAAATAGGAAAGCATAAAAGTAGCAGGCAGAGTAAGTGATTTTTATTGAGGAAACGTGCCAAAATCATTATTTGTGGAGGTGAAACCAAGAGCTGGGAGCTCCCAGGAAGCAGTTGGAAGTGGTGAGAGCTGAGAGCAGGTGGTGGCCATTATGAGAGGAGGGTGTATAGGATGACAGCTACATGAGTCAAAGATAACACTGCATTTTAAGACCAGGCGACTTGCAAAATACTGTTTTAACATGAGGAAACTGGAAGTAATTAGAAGGAGCTTCTGGTCTGAAGGTAAAAAAAAATCAAATTGGTTTGAGGGCATGGTAAGCTGCGTGAGGGACTTCCCCCAAACACCCCTGGCCTCTGTCCTATTTCTCACGCCTCTCCGCAAGGCAGAGGGTCTTCTGTGTTGGGAGGGTGATGGTCTTTTTCCTTCCTCTTGGTCTGGTCCTATTAAAGTCCATAAACACAGGTAGCATGGTCGCTTTGACTCTCTGCCCCTCAGACCAGCAGGCACAACCCCACATGATCTTGTAAGGACTCGGCTGAGGGGAACTTATGGGCCTCAATCCTCCAGTGTCGCAGCACTGGTAACAGGGCACACGTGTCGTCTGTCCACCCCCAACTGTTGATTGCACACTCACCTCTCAGTTGATTCTGGGCAAGGAAAAGGGCATGGAAACCCCACTGACCTGATTTTTACCTGTTGAGTTTAAAGCAGGAATGTTGGGTATCCAACAGGCAACTAGGGATGCCACATCTGTATGCATTTAGGTTCTGCATAGTTTTCTTATCTATGTTACAGGTTGAGTAGCCCTTATCTGAAATGCTTGGGTCCAGAAGAGTTTCAGATTTCAGATTTTTTCAGATTTTGGAATATTTGCAGATACCAAGCTGGTTGAGCAACCCTAATGCAAAAATTTGAAATCAGAAATGCTCCTTTAAGCATCAGGTCGGCACTCAAAAAGTTTCAGATTTTGAAGCATTTTGTATTTTCAAATTAGGGATGCTCAAGTGAGGTGTCAGGTGTTTACTTGGCTTTCAGCTCAGGGAACTGCAGGTCACACATGTGATGTGGGACAGGGTCATGAGATATGGTAACTCTGCTCATTCCCACCCTGGTTTTTTAGAAGCGAGGGGAAGGCTAGAGCCATGGGTTTCAGAGAATTCAAATCCTGTACATTTTCAAATCAGAAAATTTCCAATTACCTGTTACGTTCTAATCTGTGTTTCTTCAACATCAGAGGCAATCAATGCACAGAATAACACAGTTTTTCTACCTGGTCATTGACAATTTGGGGCTGTCCCAGTGCAGCCTGTTAGACAAGGCCGACCAGCATTGTCACAGACTAGGTTTGCTTTTGACTGACAAAAAGTAAATTCAAGTAGAAAGACCTTTTCATAGGACTGGATTTGACACCAAGCAGAAGTCCTTCGCCACATATGGTTATGCTCATTGTACCTTCTACTTATTAAGCACCTACTATGTGTCATAGTATGCCAAATACTTAATATTCATGTATACACACACAGAAACCCCAGTTGGGTAGGAATGTCAGAATCATGCTCTGCTCCAATTTGTGTCTGAGTGCCAGGGCCCTTCATTATTCAAGGTTCTGTGACATTTACATAATAGAAAAAAGATAGAAATCTCACTGTCATTTATGGGTAACTCAGGGAGCCATCAGAGTTGCAGGCTATGCCCAAAGGTGCCTTTCACAAGAAAGCCGCTTGCAAGGGTGGAGAGCAGCATCCCCCCACCCGCCCTCATCACCGCAAGCTGCACGTCTCCCTGACAGACAAGGGAAATGACAACAGAGTGCACTTGTATCAGGAGAGCTCCAGTGACATCCATATGAAAACACACTTTTATATTACCTAAAACTTGAAACAGAAAGTCATGCTAATTAAAAAACATACATTGTATAATGTGGAATATACTAATTATCCTGATTTGAGCACCACGTATTGCACACAGGTATCTATATTCACTCTGTACCCCACAGATATGTACAATCAACTATGTTTCAATTTAAAAAAAAAAGCTTGACAATACCACTCAACATCCACCTGCAATGAGCTAAGCATAGCTTCCATGGTATCTCGTCCATTGCAGTAACAGGGTCTACTCTATTTACTTCTATGTAATATCTTACTACTGTGCAGATCAATTTTGTCCCTAATTCTCATGTATGATCCCACCCTGGCCCAGCCTCCTTCTGTTCCATTGGCCTCTCTATGGCCATCACTCTGGGACCGGACGCACTGGTTATTGGAAAAGTGTTTCCAGTTGCATTTTCGTCGACGGGGAGATCATCTAGCCAAAGATGTGAAAGATTATATGTAGAAAATTATACAATTTTATTAAAAGGTACCTTAATAGATACCTAAACACATGGGGAAACACATCATGTCCCTGCTGAAAAGATTCAGTATCAGATGTCATCCAGTCTATAATCTATGGATCCAGTTCAGTTCTAATATAAATCTCATGGTCAAGTCCTTCTTCATCCTTTGAATCTCTCTGACTAGATCCAGCTGGAGAAATTTCTCTATTTTTAGGGGTTGGGACCACTGGGATGGTCCAGGATAATCTCCTAATTTTAAGGTCCAGAACCTTAATTCCACGGCACAGTGCCTTTTGCCATGTAAGGTAACATATTCACAGGCGTGACACAAGGGTTGCAGGTCTTGGCTGCCATGCCTTTCATGCAGGGTGATGTGGACAGCAAGTGCCTTTTGCGAAGAGCAAAGTTTAGCCAACTCACTTGGGAGCTGCTCTGAGTGTTTCATGCATATGTGTCATTGTGTGGGTCATGTAGCCATAGCCAGAACCCTAAGAAGTAGGTGCTGTTATCATCCCCATGCTACAGATGAAGGGAGTGAGGCACGAACAATAAGTGACTTGCCAAGGTCACAGAGCTGGAGTGGACCTGGCACTCTGGTCTCGGAGCCCGTGCTTGCCATTGCTACTCCGTCCTGCACTGTAAAGAGAAGATACCTACTAGCAAGGACTTCCCTTTTAAAATGGGAAGGACCTGAACCCCCACGGTGTCTGCCTGGATCTGACTCTACACACTCTTTGGGTCATTTAACTTTGACTTTCCAGACTGTCCCATCATGTCTCTTGCTGCTTCTACAAATTTCTTTGTGTTTTTTAGGCTACAAATGATTCCACATTTATACCACTTTCTGCCTCTTCCACTTGCAGATGCATACCCTAATTCTGAAGTTGTCTATGTCTGGACCAATGGCTCCACCAAGTCAGTGGTGGTGGCGGAAGACGGCTCCAGGCTGAACCAGTACCACCTGATGGGGCAGACAGTGGGCACTGAGAACATCAGCACCAGCACAGGTGAGAGCCAGTGTGGGCGGGGCCGCCAGGTGCACACGGGACTCCACATCTGGGAGGGCACGGTGCTCCCTGTGTCAACTTGTGAGGGCTGCTGCCAAGCACAACCCGTCCTGGCCAGTTGCACTCTCCTCAGTGACATGGGCCACAGCTGTGGTGAGTGCTGGCTGAGAGGAGTCCTCCCGGCCAGGCCCCTCCCTGCAGCCATGCACACAGGACCAGCTGTGGCCAGTGGCATTAAGGGTGATCACGCAGCATTAATCTGCAGTGCGCTAGCCACCCTTCCAGCCCTGCTTATGTAACACCCCTGCCCCAAGCACTGAGATGCAGGGGCAGTCTCTGCAGGCAAGTTACCCACTTCCCTGCCTCCTGCGCTGAACATTTCAGAGATTTCCCTGGGGTTGAATTTGGGCAAGCACAGCCAAGCAGCAAGAAAAGAATAGCTAAGATGGTACCAAGAAGGAAACAGACACTCAACTCCAGATGCTTGTGGCTGGCCTGAGCCCGGCAGGGGCAACTCAAGCCTGGCTGCTTCTGCTACGAAATGGGANGGGAAACACATCATGTCCCTGCTGAAAAGATTCAGTATCAGATGTCATCCAGTCTATAATCTATGGATCCAGTTCAGTTCTAATATAAATCTCATGGTCAAGTCCTTCTTCATCCTTTGAATCTCTCTGACTAGATCCAGCTGGAGAAATTTCTCTATTTTTAGGGGTTGGGACCACTGGGATGGTCCAGGATAATCTCCTAATTTTAAGGTCCAGAACCTTAATTCCACGGCACAGTGCCTTTTGCCATGTAAGGTAACATATTCACAGGCGTGACACAAGGGTTGCAGGTCTTGGCTGCCATGCCTTTCATGCAGGGTGATGTGGACAGCAAGTGCCTTTTGCGAAGAGCAAAGTTTAGCCAACTCACTTGGGAGCTGCTCTGAGTGTTTCATGCATATGTGTCATTGTGTGGGTCATGTAGCCATAGCCAGAACCCTAAGAAGTAGGTGCTGTTATCATCCCCATGCTACAGATGAAGGGAGTGAGGCACGAACAATAAGTGACTTGCCAAGGTCACAGAGCTGGAGTGGACCTGGCACTCTGGTCTCGGAGCCCGTGCTTGCCATTGCTACTCCGTCCTGCACTGTAAAGAGAAGATACCTACTAGCAAGGACTTCCCTTTTAAAATGGGAAGGACCTGAACCCCCACGGTGTCTGCCTGGATCTGACTCTACACACTCTTTGGGTCATTTAACTTTGACTTTCCAGACTGTCCCATCATGTCTCTTGCTGCTTCTACAAATTTCTTTGTGTTTTTTAGGCTACAAATGATTCCACATTTATACCACTTTCTGCCTCTTCCACTTGCAGATGCATACCCTAATTCTGAAGTTGTCTATGTCTGGACCAATGGATCCACCAAGTCAGTGGTGGTGGCGGAAGACGGCTCCAGGCTGAACCAGTACCACCTGATGGGGCAGACAGTGGGCACTGAGAACATCAGCACCAGCACAGGTGAGAGCCAGTGTGGGCGGGGCCGCCAGGTGCACACGGGACTCCACATCTGGGAGGGCACGGTGCTCCCTGTGTCAACTTGTGAGGGCTGCTGCCAAGCACAACCCGTCCTGGCCAGTTGCATTCTCCTCAGTGACATGGGCCACAGCTGTGGTGAGTGCTGGCTGAGAGGAGTCCTCCCGGCCAGGCCCCTCCCTGCAGCCATGCACACAGGACCAGCTGTGGCCAGTGGCATTAAGGGTGATCACGCAGCATTAATCTGCAGTGCGCTAGCCACCCTTCCAGCCCTGCTTATGTAACACCCCTGCCCCAAGCACTGAGATGCAGGGGCAGTCTCTGCAGACAAGTTACCCACTTCCCTGCCTCCTGCGCTGAACATTTCAGAGATTTCCCTGGGGTTGAATTTGGGCAAGCACAGCCAAGCAGCAAGAAAAGAAGAGCTAAGATGGTACCAAGAAGGAAACAGACACTCAACTCCAGATGCTCGTGGCTGGCCTGAGCCCGGCAGGGGCAACTCAAGCCTGGCTGCTTCTGCTACGAAATGGGAGGGGACCCAAGGGAACAGGATGCGGTCGGCCTCCCCAGCCGTGGGCAGGACCAGCCTAGCGGTCATGAGGTGGTGCTGGGAGTGGGGGAGGGGACATCAGGGCTCCAAAGAGTCTCATACAGCAGAGGAGAAAAGCCCAAATGGATGGAGTGAGCCCTGACCGCAGATCGAGCCTGAGCCTCCGTGGATACCATCTGGTTGTCAGCAGGCCCACCCTCGCAGCTGGCCAGGACACAGTGGACACTGGGCGCCCCTGAGATGAGAGAGCCTGCGAGGACCCTCTTGCCCTCCAGTGACCACTCTAAGGGGAGAAGAAGAGGAAACAGGCCGATGCCATAGAATCCAGTGAAGAGGTGGTATGGCAGAAATTTGGGGTAAAGAATCGTGGTGCTGAAGGAGGATGCTCCAGTTTGGAATTTTCATGTAGTTCTTTAAAAACTTATAACTGGGTTCTCTGCCATTATTTGCATTCTAAAAAGATAGACTTTTTTTATGACCTGATTTTTCTACCCCTAACTCAAAAATAAAACAAAATTAAAAGAACAGCAACACTATAAAAGAATTAAATGTGGAGAGTAATTTCAAACCTTACTGTAAAGAAATAGAATGGTACTTCCCTTCTCTGTGTGCTAAGAAGAGGAGAAATTGGGTCATGATTAAACATGCAGTGCTTGCCGCTGGACCAGTCCCCTGCCCCTTCTCTTACCCCTGTTCTTTCTCCTGTACTGAAGCCTCACTGGCTCTCACCTGCCATGGGGCAATGGGGACAGCGTACCCTGCCACTGCCATTGTATCTCCAGGCACTGCTGAGAACTGGCTCCTTCTCTGTGAGGGCACCTTTCTCCACATGTGTACTTTGTGGTCCCCTGGTCTCCAGCACCACGCATGCTATGAGGAAAGGCCCTCAGGAGCATCGCAGCTGGCCTTGCCAAGCCATGAGCTTTGCTTCCAGCAAAGTAAGCATTGGAGCCTCAAACATTCCAACACCCTGTCCATGCAGCCACAGACCACTGCCCTAACAGAGGAGCCCCCGCCGGGGGTCTGCTGCAGTGGAGCCCCCAAGCCTGTTCTCCCACATTCACAGTGCAGCCTGGCTCCCAGCAACAGCATCCACTCCTCGCAGTTCAGCCAAGGAAGTGTGTCCTCAGATCAGCTCACCTGTGCCTCAGCTTCTCAAGGCACCTCTCCCACCCCCCAGGGGTCCGCACTCAAGTAGCAGTGGTCCAACAGGCCCCACTCACCCTCTGAGCACAGCTGTCCCCGGCTCCTTACCAGTTAACCATCAGGGCAGCATCGTTGTCAGCGATGAACGGGAGGTCCCCACGCGCCTCCCACACAGCCAGGCAAATCCAGAGAAGGCCCTGGGACATGGCCAAGGAAATGCCCCCAATTGCAGAGAGCAGAAAACGCCTGTGAGTTGCGGGATCCGTGGCCTCCTGAGCTGCTGTTACTCTCCCTCCACCCGGGCCCGGCCAGCACAGAGCCTGTCGCCTGCGGGAGAGGGGTTGTCCCACCTTCCTGGAGGCTCCCGAGCTGGGAGATAGGAAGGAATCTGTCCACCCACAGCAGGTCTCTGTGATCTCCCAGGTTATATCTGAAGAGGCTAAATCCTGAAATCCTGATTGCAGTAACAGGCCAGGGGGCGGGGGAGAGTGGCACAGATTGGAACAGGGGATTAGTAAAACCCACAAATCTGATTTTGCACAGGAAAAGCATCCGTAAGCAAAGGCTTTTCAGAGGCTGGGGGTCAAAAGACTTAAGAAATTCACGCATCCTCTTCCATCTTCTTCTTAACAAATAATACAAATAAATGCTTGTCCACCGTGAAGGTGGAGTGAACTCTGGTCTAGCAAACGGGAACCATTGGAGCAGGAACTGTGGAGACTTTAGGGGACTGATGGGCATTGATGTACTTATTTGCAGGTGAATACACAATCATGACAGCTCACTTCCACCTCAAAAGGAAGATTGGGTACTTTGTCATCCAGACCTACCTGCCCTGCATAATGACGGTGATCTTATCGCAGGTGTCCTTTTGGCTGAACCGAGAATCAGTCCCAGCCAGGACAGTTTTTGGTGAGTGTCCCAAAGCCAGGTCTGGACACTGGTGGTTAGTGACTGAGTCTAACAACTTCCAAAGCAACAACAGCCACAAAACTTCCAGTTTGCTGCTTCGTTTTATGACCTGGGAACAAATTGACCGATTAGTTAAGAATTAAATGTGAAGGATTAAGACTTAGGATTTCTTTCTGAATGAGGGTTCGTGGTGTATTTAACAGTTACTTCCTTTTTGAAAAGCCTTAGTAAAAGTAAGGTAGCCTTTCTTGAGGCTTGAAATTGCCAGCATGTATCTGTCTTGGTGACCCTTTGCTATAGTATTTTACAGTTCTCATTAAGTACTACTTTATAACCTATCAGGCAGTTTTCTTTGAAACTTGCATGCCACTTTAAAATTAACCACCAAGTGACAATCAATGTGATACAACAGTAATAAATTAAACATATCTATATATATGATAAGAATCTAGAGCATTATTTTACATACCTATGACATAAATTTAGAAAGACCTAGCTCAGGAGGTACCTTGGCACAAGGGACATAGCTGAGCATGACTCAGTTTCCTCAAATTTGAAAGGAGATGCTGAATGTAGTTTTGCAGGTCAGTTGTGACATTGGATGCTCACATCTTTACAAACTGCAAGGTAGTTGCACCTCAGCTCTTGCTACTGCAGTTTCCCTTCCAAAGGAGGAAAGTATTAGCACAAATTTTATTTTAATGCTTGCACAGTGTGTAGGAAGCCCAAGAGCCCAGGAGTTTACAGGTGAGTGGCACAAGAGTGTTCTAGTCTGACCATCACTCTGCCTCCAACCACGTGCCCAGATCCACCTGCCTGGCCTGAGTGAGCTTTAGGAATGTTTCTGGAAGTTGTGGAGGTTGGCTCATAGCCAGGCAGTGCTCCCCAAGTTAATGTACCTAATGAACCCGTTAGGGGAAATTTAGGAGGTGGCAGGGAAAAGAAGTTTGGAAAATGCCGTATGTTAGGATGTTAAAGGACCCAAGAAGTCTCCAGAAACCTGTTTAGGGTCATGCATAGAACACGCCCCCCAGTACAATGATTAACTAGATGTCTAAGAAAAATCAAAGATGCCTAGTGATTTCTCATTAAGCATTAATTCCATGCAGGATCCCATGTTCAGTGAGTATATGTAAATACCTTTGAAGGATGGCAGTGAATGAAACTGAAAGCTGCCAGGACCACCAGCAGTATTCCATCCTTTTGTGCTGTGCTGTTTCCTGTGGCTGCCCTAACAAAGTCCTAGCTCTGGAGTCTGGAAGTCTGAAATCCAGGAGTCAGCAGGGTGGCTTCCTTCTGAGGACATGAGGGAAGGGTCTCTCCCAGGCCTCTCTGCTGGCTTCTGGTAGCTCTTTGGCTCGTGGCAGCAGAACTCCAGTCTTCACAGGTTGTTCTCCCTGTGTGCACATTTGTCTCCAAGTCTCCCTTTTATGAGAACACCAGTCATGTTAGATTAGGGCTCACCCTGATTACCTCGTGATAACTTGATTATTTCTGTGAAGACCGTATTTCCAAATAAGGTCACAGTCTGCAGTACTGGAGGTTAGGATTTCAACACAGGAATTTGTTCACATCCCACACACTCAGATGCACGCTCCTGCAGACAAACTGCCGTGACAAGGAAGGCAGTGTTAGCACATGGAAGCTACAGTGTAAGAGTCCAGCAGACTTGAGTCTGAAGATGGGTCATCTTCATTTACTAGCTGGTGAATTTGGGTACAGTGCTAAATACTTTCAAATCCTCAGGCTCCCCACTGGGAGAACGGGGAAGATGACACACATCCAGAATGTGCTTTAGGTCAGAGTCTGGCACTTAGTAGATGCCTGGCCCATAATCCGCCAGTCCTGAAGGAACATCCCCCTCTAGGGATCAAGCCCTCTGTGTGGTCACTGCAAGGTCCCCAGAGGCCACAGGCACCTTGCACAGCAGCCTTGAGGGGACACTGCTTACTCTTTGAGGGAGTGAAGTACCCAGACCAACATTCAGACATGGTGCTCTTGTTGTAGAAAGTCTGTCCCGTGTCTTTGCGTGGACAGGCAAAGCACATGGTAAGTCTCTGTGGAGCACTTTGCCGATGTGGTATGATGAGGCCGCCATTTATCCTGTACACCTTGCCCGAGTACCGCAGGACACCACACTTTCCACACATCTTGTCTGAGCACCACCTCTTTGCTTGGCTTCCTCCAAGGCAGTGGGGGCCAAAATCAGACCCAAATCCCTGCCTTCCTCAGATCGTATTCTAGAGGAAGGAGGCAATATTTTATATGCTACGGACGTGTTAAATGTTAAGAAAATATTTAGCAAGGAAGATGCAGGCTGGCACTGCATAGCCTGTTCCTCTCGTGTCTTTGTCTGCTGTGTCCGGGCTGTTGTACTGACGCCTGTTTCCATCCTCCACCCCGCCCCGTCTGACCCCCGCAGGGGTGACCACGGTGCTGACCATGACGACCCTCAGCATCAGCGCACGGAACTCTCTGCCCAAAGTGGCCTATGCAACCGCCATGGACTGGTTCATAGCCGTGTGCTACGCGTTTGTCTTCTCTGCGCTGATCGAGTTTGCCACAGTCAACTACTTTACCAAGAGAGGCTGGGCCTGGGATGGCAAAAAAGCCTCAGAAGCAGCCAAGATCAAGGTACTGACTTTATTTTCCTGCTTCTCCTTTCTTTCAGATTCCTTTGACTGAGGGAACCGTGCCTGATTCTATGTCCAAGTGTAAGACAAGGTGTTTCTCCTTTTTACCCCTTCCCCAGCCCAAATGATCCGTTCCCTTATCTACAAGGTCGTCACAAAGTCTTGCAGCAGGTCACTTTCCTCATTTATTCTGAATCACCATTTTAGTTAAAGTGAAAGTTCTGATGTTATGTAGATGGCTCGGGCGTGTTTATATTCATGCCCATCATCTTTGCAAGCTCACTCCTGCCTCTTTGCAGACACAACTTGTCCAGTTTTTCATTGTACGATACATACTTCTCTTTTTTTTTTTGCCACTTCATCGTGCAGTGTGTCTTCTTCAAGGTGGCCTTCGGACGGTGAGGAGGGCCATGACTTGCAGAGGCAGGGCATCAACACAGCATATCCAGCCCCTCTAAATCATGCTTGTGAATCGTGGTGAAAAGCATTACTCTGTTCAAAACAATCATCGAGTTAAAGGGTGATTTGGTTTAAATCTAAGGAATATTTGAAGAAAAAAAGTTGCACAAGATTTCAAGTTGGATCATTTTTGTGGGGAGATGAGAATAGTGTACGTGGATGGAAAATAGAAATGCGCATGATAAACTGCTAGTTACACCACGCACAGCACAGATAAGTGAGTCCTGCAGACTGAGAGGAGGTCACACTCATTAGGATTGACTCGAACGTGGAATGTAGTCTGTTCTTTGGAAAATCAGGCTGAAGGAAGTCCAAGCAGGTATTACAGAAGACTGGAATTATATGTCCCTACCTCCCCACCAGGGGCCGCAAGCCTGACCAGGAAGTACAGGACACCCTGGTTCCATTGAGGCACTCAGTTCTGTCCCACAGATAGGCCCACGCTTACTCCTGGAAGTTGACACTAATCTTTTCCCATGAAAATCCAGAAATTCTGACTTGACTTCACTCATCTGGCTCAGGGGTCCCCTCCCATGCCCCAACTGGTTCCATTGAGGCACTCAGTTCTGTCCCACAGATAGGCCCACGCTTACTCCTGGAAGTTGACACTAATCTTTTCCCATCAAAATCCAGAAATTCTGACTTGACTTCACTCATCTGGCTCAGGGGTCCCCTCCCATGCCCCACTTCCAGTCACAGGAGCCCCCCTTCCACGTCCAGCTTGCCCAGTTGAAGAAAGGCCTAGCGGGACCCCCTCTGGGCCCTTCCTGGGAGAAGCCTGAGGAATGGCTTGGCAAGTGCAGGCTGAGTAGCTCTTATCTGAAATGCTTGGGACCAGAGGGTTTCTGATTCCAAAATCAGTGCTTTTTTCAGATTTTGGAATATTTGCATACATATAATGAGATATCTTGGGGATGGGACCCAAGTCTAAACACAAAATTATTAATGCTTTCAATACACATTACACATATAAGCTGAAGATAATTTTATACCATATATTTAATAATTTTGTGCATGAAACAAAGTTTTGACTGAGACCCATCCCATGAGGTCAGGTGTGGCACTTTCCACTTGTGGCATCATGTTGGCACTCAAAAAGTTTTGGATTTGGGGGCATTTTGGATTTCAGATTTCTAGATTAGGGTTGCTCAACCTGCAGGAGCCTCAGGTGTGGGCGTATTTGGGGGTATCACAGGGACAGAGTGTTCTGACTGTAGTGGCTGATTGGTGGGGAGCTGGGAAAACATTTGTAAGGACAGGGTGTCTTCAGATTGTGGAGGTCCTTGACCAGAGTATTTGGACTTGTTCCTGCAGATGAGGGAGCCATGGAGGATGTCTGTGGGGTAGAATCAAGAATGGAGTCTGGGAGAGGGCCTTCCAGCACCCCCTAGTGTGTCACTGGAAGGTCGATGTTCACCACTGCCTGGGTCTTGGTGGCCACACAATGATGGATGGAGATGGACAAGTCTGAAGTTCGGGAGCAGTTGGGAGTCTTGGCAGTAACCCAGGTAGTCAGCTAACAACTGTGAGTCCTGGAGAAGATGAAGTGCAGGGAAGATGGAGGGACTTAAAATGTTGCTGGCAGTTGTGCCAGCATGTGGCCTTGCTGTCAGCCACCACATCATGCTCAGCCTCCTGCTGTAGACCTGAATGGAGACCTAGAGGGAGTAGAGAGGATGAGGTAATGTGGACCAAGTCCAACGAGCAATGATTTTCTAGAATAAGCAATGTGTCGTGGTTTATCTCATGGAACTTCAAGACTATGTGTTGTTCCCCAGAAGATCGTGGTGCTGGGCGTCCCACCCTCATAACAGAAAGGCTGTTGCAGTAGAGGCATCGTGGCATCTACAGGCTCCAGGGCAGGCACATCCTGCCAGCGCTGAGCATGAATATGTGAGCCTAGCATTAGCCCACTCGCGTACACTGACCGTCCGTGGAAGTAGAGAGACCTTATTAACTAGACTGGGTTCATTGCTCCATGTTGGGTTCTCCAGAAGCAAATGCTGGGTCAGAGTTTGGGGTGCAAGGCAGTTTTAGGAGTAAACACGTGGGAAGGGAAAGAGAAGAAAGCAAGTTTGGGTAGAGGAAGGCAATGAGCTCTGACCAGGCCAGCAAAGCCAAAGCTGACTGCACGGAGGTCTGGAGCAAGTGCCCTGGGCAGAGCTGCTCCATGCCTGGGGCTAAGGCCATGACTTCATGCTCCCACCTCACTGGTTATCAGGTGTGACTGCCTACCCTCCCCGCCCTGGGAAGGGCATGACTCAGGCAGCCCCCTGCCACTGAGGCTGTCCCTGAAGAAGACACTGCCCACAGCAGGGCAGCAAGTCCTATCTGGAGTGGGATCCAGGGACACGTCTTCTCGTCCACCACAGCCACCAGGACCACATCAAGTCCTGAGCACCCTCCTGCTGCTTATCCCTCCCACGTAAAAACATGAGTTGTCACAACAGAGCTGTCTCTTCTCAAGTGCCTGCTGTTCCTTGGCTACATCCAGAGATGGAAGTTATTCAAAGCAGAAGTCATGCTTGTCAGTTTCTTCAGGCACACTAGCACGGGTGCTCAGTGACGTTGGGGACTATGGCTGCCTTCTGCCCTCCTTCACGTGCCCCTGGGGGCCCACACCCCTGCACCTGCCTGGTGTTTGCTTGGCCTCTTTTTACCTGTTCCCCTGCTGCCTGCTCCTTGCTTGCCCTTCCTGCTTTTTATCTTTTCCATATTTTTAATGGTCGATATATTTTCTTTAATTTAGGAACTCATGTTTTCCAAATTTTGCTCAATGAGACTGTTACTTTGGTAATGGAACAGAGTTTTTTTCAACATTTTATTATGCATATTTTCAAACATACAGCAATCTTTAAAGAATTTTACAATGAACACCTACCTACCATTAACATTCTGCTATTCTGTCATCACCATCTGTCATCTCTATCCATTCATCCACCCATCTTCCATCTATCAAATCCATCTTATTTTCTGATGCACTTCAAACTAAATTTCAGACAACAGTACTCCAGTAAGACATCTGCATGCATATCATTAACTAGAGTTCAAAACTGGTTTATGGTTTTATTCTATTGAAGAAAAATTTACATAGCTTGAAATGCACAAGTGTTCAGGGCACCTTTGCTGAGTGTTGGCAAACATGCACACCTGTGTGACCCAAGTCCCTGTCACCAGCCTCCAGAAAGTTCACCACGCTTCCCAGGCAGTCCCATCACTTCATCTCCAAATGGAACCATGCTTCCAGTTTTCTCCACGGTAAATTATCTTGCCTGTTCTAGAATGTTATATCCAAGAAAAGTGAAAACATCTTCACAAAATAGTGTATACAAAAATGTTTATAGCTGGGCCGGCCCGGTGGCGCACTGCTGCAGTGCGCCGCTTGGGAGCGCGGAGGCGCTCCCACCGAGGGTTCGGATCCCACATACAGACCGGCTCCTGCTCACTGGCTGAGCGAGCTGCGGGTGCAGCACCGAGGGCTGCGATCCCGTTGCCGGTCCGGTCCGGTCCGGGCGCGACACTGAGGGTTGCGATCCGTTGCCAGACACGAAAAAAGACAAAAAGGAAAAAAAAAAGTGTTTATAGCTACTTAATTCTTAATAGTCAAATTGGAAACAGTTCAGGTGTCCATCAACAGGAGAATAAACAGTGGTATGCTCATACAAAGAAATACTACTCAGTAAGAAAAAGGAGTGGATTACTGACACAGGCACAACATGGACGGTTCTCAGAAGCACTGTGCTGAGTGAGAGACACCTTACCCAAAAGAGCACCTGTCGTATGATGATGTCTAATCACCCTCCTCTTCTCCTTCCCCGTAGGCCATTCCTTACAGGTTCCTTCATATCCACACACATTATTCACTCCCACTGGCACAGTTAACAATCAGGAAATGATGGCTGCTCTGCGGGGTAAGAGAAGTCTTCATTCCATCTATTCCAAGTTTTTGAGAAATGCCAGACATTAATATCAATAATGGCTTTCACTGGTGCCACTGTGGGGTGATGGACTTAGAAGTCTGTGGGGGACTGCCCTCTTCCTCACATTCTCCTTATATTTTGCAGAAAAAGGAGCGTGAACTCATACTAAATAAGTCAACAAATGCTTTTACTTTGATGGACTTAGAAGTCTGTGGGGGACTGCCCTCTTCCTCACATTCTTCTTATATTTTGCAGAAAAAGGAGCGTGAACTCATACTAAATAAGTCAACAAATGCTTTTACTTCTGGGAAGATGACTCACCCCCCTAACATCCCAAAGGAACAAACCCCAGCAGGGACTTCAAACGCATCTTCAGTCTCAGTAAAACCTTCTGAAGAGAAGACGGCTGAGAGCAAAAAGACTTACAACAGCATCAGCAAGATTGACAAAATGTCCCGAATTGTGTTCCCAGTCTTGTTTGGCACTTTCAACTTAGTGTACTGGGCGACATACTTGAATAGGGAGCCAGTGATCAAAGGAGCTGCTTCTGCAAAGAAGTGACTGTGGCGCTCCAGACTCCAAGAGGGCACAACGGCACCAAGGGAGGCTGAGCTCAGAGGGACGCTCCATACCTGGACACGTCTTTCAGGAAATTTTTGCATGTTTAATAATACTTACAAATTATATTGCCTCGATGTTTCTACATGTAACTTGAGATGTTTTGAAGATGTCACATTGATAAATAATGCAAACAACTTTTTAGAAAAATGGGAGACAGTGCCTCTGACACTGAGATGCTCAGTATCTGACACTGACAGTTTACAAACAAGTATATTTTTAACTGTTCCAAGTGTTACCTGACAAGGTTTTTTATATTTCAAATGTCATTTCATACAAATTTTCCCAGCAAATAAATATTTTAGGAAATGCTCTATGATTATTACTTGACCAACTATTGCAAGAAACAAAGATCACAAAGAGCGCATTTTTCATTAAGAAGAAACTGTGGACATTTAAGTACAAAATTAATTGCCTTTGATAATTCTTACTGTTATGGAATTACAAGAGTACTGCATGATGTTACATTAAGAAATAGAATAGGCAAACATTTATGCAGACAAGTTTAGTAACACAAATATACAGTATGTTAGATTAACAGATAAAATATTTCCCCAGGCAAAAATTTAAATGCTTAAGTTTTTGGGGGGGAAAGAAACTTATTTCCCACCAACCCCCACATCCCCAAAAGGAGATGCTCAACAGAAAGTGGTTTGGTGACGTCCTGGGCACTTGGCCTCTGTGTTCACTGTCTCCAAACACCGGCCCCTCTCGCTGCAGCCATTGTATAGTGCTTCAGTGGTGAGAAATTGTAATTGAGTTATTTTCTATTTTATTTCCTTGTATGTATTTCATGACTGACTTATTGCTCTGTTGGCTTTTGTATATGAATCTTAAATGTTCATTAAAAAATAAAAAATGAATTGATCTTATGGGCCTATATATTTTTAGAAAAAAAGTATATTTTGGTGAACTCTTTTCCTAAAAATGACATAAAGGAAAGCCATCATGAAATCGCTTGGGGGTGGGGCGGGGGAAGAAAACTCTACTTGGTGGCTCCCCTCTGTTCTAATCTAATTCTGTCCAGCAGCACTTGGAGAGAAAGTTTATTTAAACCATGGTGAGGGTTAACAGGTAAAACCAGATTTCCTTTCCTGTCACATACGTCTCAGTTGTGCTCCCACTTGAGTGTTCCCTGAGGGTGTTTGCTGTGTGCACAGTGACTGCTCAGTCCTAGCTCCACCCTTGTGTTAGCTGTTTGTGAACGGTGGTACTAAGTCCTGCATTTGGGCCATCTACTTACTGTTCTAAGAAGCACCCACGATCAACAGTGTGAAAGGAACACTTTCTGCCCCTCCATGACTCACTGGAATTCCAGATTTGCAAGAGGGGAGTTATGACTGTGGCAAACAAGATCAACATTATGCCTGTCTAAATTGACCAGGTGTCCTGACTCTTAAAATATACAGAGATTCCATTGCCCCTTTGATAGAGTGATTTGGGATTTCACAAATAGAAGGGTAAAGGTCAACAGAAAAGCTCTTAAAGTTCACACAAGGAGCATTATCCTATTACAAATGATAATATATGCATTTGTAGAATAAATACATGCTTTCTAGTACACAACAGCATAAAACCCACCCAAGCAAAAAGCAAGCAATGATGCTTCCATTTCACTTGCTATTAATAATAGTTACATTTCCCTTATACAGTCTTTCCAGTTTAGCTTTGAACTGTAGTTTGGAGAAAGATACACTATCACTTATGTCCAAATGGCTATGTGTATAAACACCCGCTCTGCACATCTTAACCCTTAGGGAGAATGATGGCTTCTGTGTCAGGCTGCAGTCATCTTCTTGACAAGCTCCAGCCTTGGCTGCAGAAGAACTCAATGAGCTCTTGTAGGAAGATATGCCTCCTTCATTTACAAACTCCTCAGCCTTATGTCTGATGAATATTTACTGAAAAGATCACATTGGTTTTCCACTCTCATTTTGTATTGTAGATATTTCAGTGTTTGCTATTTTTAATGAGAATATAATAAAAAATCACCTTGGGAAAAAATGATAACAAGTCAAGAAACAAAAATTTCTGAAAATAATTACTAATTACAGTGCCCTACTTTTATAGCCAGGGTACTTATATGTATCTCTTTTGATATCACCACAAATAGAATATTCTAATGTCAGTAATCAGTATTCCTTCTGTACTTTCTCAGGAATCTAAGGGCTTATTTAGGGCAAGTCTTGGCTAAAGTTGGCCTAAAAGTGTGTGTTTGCATACAATAGTTGGGTTCAAATGCTTCTGGAGTAACTTAAAGTTAAAATAGCACCACAGACATCCTCTGTTGAAGACAGACAAGAAGGTTATAAATCTTCTGACTTATTTGTCATGTTAATGCCATAGAAATAGTGCTCTATGTTTCTCCTGGGACAAGTTATGGGCAATAGGTAAAGTCAATGAGAAACCTATTTTTCCAATAGGGATACCACAACCCAAAGAAGTTAATCTGCTGGCTCAAGATCATATCACAAGTTAGGAGAAAATGCAGCCCTTGGTTCTAGTTCTCAACATTTCTAACTCTGGATTCACAGCACCATGCAATTGCTTCCAGAGTGAAGCTGATTTACAACAACAATGTAACCTAAAATGGAAAATCTTGCTTCAAGCTCTGGTTGAATGATCGTCTATTAAGAATGCCCTGGAGAAATTTTGTGTGTGTGCAGAAAACATGACCTTTTTGTCTGTCCCTTCTTATATAAATTTTGTGCTTCTGTGATCTCAGAAACCTGTTTGGATGGAATGGACCTGCTTTAGGGTAGTCCTCTCCTACTCCCCACCCCCATCAAAGAGAGAGAGAGAGAGAGAGGAGAGAGAGAGAGAGAGAGAGAGAGAGAAGCACTGACTGACTGGAGGCAAGTATCACTGTGCCCAATGTGATTGCTCCTTCCAGAGCAATGACTGGTGACTGACAGTGGTGACTGTGCTGGGAGGGTCCACCCCAAGGGAAAGAAATGCATAACTGACCATGACACTCGGTCTTCAACCAACATTAGCCTCCATTATAAGAACTCGCTTCAAATCAACAAGGTTCTTTTCTTTGGAAAATTGGAAATGCCACAGTTTGCTCAGTGAAAACAGTATTTTAAATATTTAAAAATCACTCTTAATGTCTTTTTACAATACTTGCGCATCTGGGACAATCAATGCCATGAGCAAACATGGTGAGTATTTGAATATGAATTACTCTGATCACTGCAATTACTTGCCAGGTTTGCAGTGATATAAGGTGATGCTTTTCAAGTGTGCAGAAAGGTTCATTTCATCAAAGATTTGCATGATTATCTGTTTGTCACTGTTATTTTCAATAGACTATATCAACTCTAAACTCAAATACTCTGTAGCCTATTTTAAAATGAACATGGGTTCTTTATGGAAACTTGTGCTTCAAAAAATATTTACTGTTCAAAATTTCTCTAATATAAAAGTCTAGAGAGTTATTCAGAGAAAGAAAGTCTTAAGAAATGGTTTACTTAGCTTCTCTGAGTTCAAATTGAAAGACAAATAAAACCAAGGATCAGACACTATATTTAGCAATGTAAGACCATAGAAAGGAAAATTTGAAATGAGCTCTAATTGACCCAATATAGTAATTTAAGTCCAATTGATTCTCCATTATTTATGTTGCTATTATTGTCTCCCTAGCAGCCAGCATTACTCAAGGCCAGTTGCAGGTGAACTGACTGAGAGATGGGTACCTAAAAGTGGGTGGACTGGCTTTGATGAAACCCCTTGAGGTAGGGATTGCTAATTGGTGGTAGTATCCCACCCAAAGAAAATATTTTCTTAAGAGGTTAGAAACTCTTATAATTTTTTGAAATAAAAATTTTAGAGATTTTTATTAACCTGTCCATAGTTAACCTAACAACACTGGGAACACAGTTCCACATGGTGATGACTATCTGGGCTGAGTAACAGCCTGGCCCTTTAGATAAGGTGACCATGTAAATTTACTGTCCAGACATGAGACTTCCATAATTGTGGACTGAGTTCCTCAGTAAATTCTCTCCCCCCAAAGCAATGAAAACACTGGAAAGATCATCAGAAGCAACCATTTCAAGACTATGAAAATGTAACCAAAGGCATATAACAAATTAAAAATGGTTATTGAAGAAAAACAACTGAACCTCAGTAAGAACAGTGAAGTCTATGTCATTTTGACTTGGAGATACTTCCATCTTCTTAGCAGTTCCTCAGCACAGTACCATGAAGACAACCTTGCTGCCACCAGAGGGAAATGATTTAATTTGGAACTCTACAAACAAACAAAAAATCCCCAACCAATCAAACAACAACAACAAAAAAACCCATCTCTAGGGTTTTGTCACTATTTGGCCTGACTTGGAACTCCAAGGAAAAGTTTTATCCCCAGGGCATTGTTGATAACAATAGCAATCAGCATCAGTCAGGGCAGGTCAACATTACAGCTTCCCATGGCAATAATACCATATGGGACAAGAAAGAGACCAGCCAAAAATGGAAAAGAAGATTTAGAGAATCAGACAGTCCCTAGTGGGCTATGAAAACCTCTGACATGCTCCTGAGGATCTGGAAGCCTGTGTGCATGTGCAGGACTGTGTGAATGGTCAAGAAAGAGCAGAGAAAATCCTAGTTACTTACTCATCCCTGGCTGACCTTGAGGTCCTCTGAAAGCAGAAAGTGAAGGATAAGGAAGACTTTGAATCTGCCTGAACTTTGAAAGTCACACTTAGATCCCCATGGCTTTATGTATGTGGAGAACTTACATAAAGCATTTAAGGAAACATTGTGTCCAATCATTGGCTGACCCCTAAGCTATGCTAACACAAGGGTGACCCCTAGGAAGCCAGGACTAAAAATGAAAACAGTTTTAAAACAGAGACTTCAGTACAGGGAATGCAAATACTATGCAACTGGTCCAAGAAAGTCATTAAACAAACAACCCTATCCTCAACAACTACAAAAAATAAAACAATAATAAGCAATTAGGGGAAGAGGAATAATCAGATCTCAATGTTATTAAAATATACATCTAGTGTCCAGTTTTCAAGAAATATTAGGAGACATGCAATGAAATAGGGAAGTTTGACCTATACACAGGAAACAAAACAATCAAAAGAAACTGGACCCGAGGGTTCCCAGATTTTCGATTTAATAAATAGACTTTAAATCATCTATCATGAATATGTTCAAAAAACTAAAGTGTGTCAGTACATTTTCTGTTGCTTATAATAGAATATCTGAAACTGGGTAATTTATAAAGAAAATAAATTTGCTTCTTACATTTCTAGAGACTGGGAAGTCCAAAAGCATGGCATCAGCATCTTGTCTGTGAAAGGACGACAGGACCCAAGCTGACAGTTCACTGGAGAAGTTCTGCTTTATTCGGGGGAGAAGCATACATTTATATAGAGCCAGGTTCCGGGAGAGGTACACGGGGCGGTAGTTGATTGGCCAGGGGCGGGTAATGATTTCTGATAGGCTGCACATTGGTGCCGGTGAGATTGTTAGGACCTGGAAGAGAAAAGCACCATGTTTTAGGGAGTGCCTCCTTTGGGGTCTTCTGTGAGGCCTTACATTCCTCCCTTTTTGCTCTATTGGGGATAAGGTTGTTGAGGTCTCCGAACTACTTCCTGCTGGAGGGGGGCGTCGTGGGATGAGGAAACGGAGGAGAAAGAAACCCCATTATACCCCAAAGGAGAGTGGTGAACAGGGTGATTTCAAGGGGAGAGAAATCCATGAAAGTTCCTTGGAGCCATAGGTCAGCCATCTGCTGTGTCCAATGGGCATAAGAGGTTGTGGGGAAGATCATCCATGCATCTGCAGCTAGAGTGGTCAGGAACAAGTGCCACCGGTGACTTAGATCCATTTCAGCAAGATGTCAGGCGTTCTA